TCATAAAGCTGATGCAGAAAAACAAGGGAAAGTCGGGGGTGGGGATGGGGGGCAGCAAACCCAATGGAGGAACCTCAGATCATGTCCATCTTGACTGCTGATGAAACTCTCTTTGAGTAGTTTCTTTCACTCCCTTGGCTCCCTGCACCTGTTTTCCTGTGACTCTTTCCCCGTCCTCCCATAGAATGAACAGTACCTGGCCCACAGTTGATCCTTGGTAAATAGGTGTTAGATGAACACGTGAGAGGATGGAACTAGAGTCTTTCAAACTCTTTTTAGTTCCTAAATCCTACTAATAGAAGAGAGAGCAGGCTTTGAGCCCTTCTGCCTGTTTATCTGCATCAGTTACCATCTGTGCAAACTTCAGCAACTCAGCACTTGGTGCCTTCATCCTCCCTCCCACCCCAAACAATTTATCAGCCTAGTTGGGGCACTTTGAACATGAAGGGGACACTTTGAACATGAAGGGGACACTTTTTTTTTTTGTAATGCTGGGGATTAAACCCAGGGCCTTGTGCATGCAAGGCAAGCACTCTACCAACTGAGCAACATCCCCAGCCCCAGACACTGTTAATAATCATGCTGAGAGAATAGGTATAAACCATGTCAGTCCCAGGTAAATCGGGATGGATAGTGGCCTAAGGTTTCAGTGAGGTAGCTCAGGTACCTGATACGGAGCAAACATTCCAAATATTTTAGTTCTTACTGTGTTGTCCTTTGGGTGGGTAGTAGGTAGAAGGCCAGTATATACACAGGCTCAAGGCAGAGCTGCTTGGCCTAAGGAAGGCTGGTGGCTGCTCAGCAGTCCCCCTCCGTGCTGCCTGTGTGCATCAGAAGCCTCACAGCCTCTAAGAACTTTGCAGTACAGTTTGAAAATCACCAAGGTTCCTTCCAGGTCTTTGGACTAAGATTTATAAGTCCCTAACCTGTTGTCCCTCTCTCCAGTATCACTAGGACCCTCTGACAGCACAGACCTAAATGATCCCACCCACCATGTAGAGCCACCTCATCCTGGTCCCAAACCTGCCCTTGGCCCCTTGACTGTGCTAGGATTCAGAATGGATCTGTACAGTGTGGGCTGTGACTCTTTCCCCGCCCTCCATCACTGATGGTGTGCATCTCACATGCACGGGGATGGATGTGGACCCTTCAATTCCTCGAGAAGGGAGAGCGCCTGCCACTTGATTGATGGAGACACTGAGGCAGTGTGGCAGAATGAACTGCCCAAAACGGCACAGCAGCTGGGGTGGGGTCTTCTTCCGGGAACTCTCCTCCCACCCCTGGTCCCAAAGAGGGGAAGTAAACCCAGATGGCAGCAATACAGAGAAAACTGGGGTAGACCATTGTCCAGCCTAGGTGGGCTAAGTACCCCAGGAAGGGGCTCAGGGAGATGACAGAGGGGTGTGTGTGTGTGTGGCTGGCCTCAGTCTGGGGAGAGCTATTGACCTAGGGGATTAGGGGCCAGAGGGCTTGGCACTGGTGGGATTAAAAATCCTGTGGAAGGGAAGGTCTTTTCAAGGTGGGTGGGGGGCGTGGGAGGGCCAGCTTCTCGCCTCCTTCCTTTCTCCTCCTTTCTCTTCCTTTCTTCCTTTCTCCTCCCTTTGCCTCTCCCCTCCTCCATTCCAGTTGAATGTGGACTTGCCCCCTCACCCATCTCAGTCCCTATTCAGGAGGCCCCCGTGCCATTCACAGCCCATGTTCCTCCAGCTGCCCAGACCACCCCACCCCACCAGGCTGCCTTGAGCCCACCCAGCCCCAGCCTCATCCCCAGAGCGCCCCACGGCCAACGCGGGTGAATCCGGGGCACAGGGTACTCGAGGGAGGGGGCGCCTCAGGAGCCCCGGCACATTATTAGGAGGAAATTACATTTACAGGGCTAGTTTCCAGAAAGCTCAGAACCATGCTGCTAGTATGATCTCCCCCACTTTAGAGGCCTGAAGGAGGCCAGCGGCTGTGCCCAGAGAGGGTCTGCTGCACCTCCTGGCAGAGAGGTGTCCCCTTGTTTGAATGAGGCAGGTGAAGCTGGTGTCACAGCCCCCGGACCCTGGCAAGCTGGGCCCTGTTTGCTTCAGCCCAGTCACAGATGGGGCAGCCGAGGCACCAGCTGTTTACCCTGAGTTATACCAACCCTCACTAGTGGCCGAGACAAGAATAGGATTTTGTCATGTCCCTTGCTGCCCCTCAGCAGGGGCACAGGCTCCTTTAGAAGCTCCCTGCTTCCTTCTGGGGTGCTGGACCTACTTCTCTCCTGCCTTCTGGGCATGTGCTCTCCCCCGGTTCACTCTCTTTCTCTCTTTGTCATCTTCTCTCTGTCTCTGACCCCATGTCCCCTGCCCGTCTCTGCCCTTGCCCTCATCTGCCCAGGTGTTGGATGTGGTTGAAAGATGTCCTGTGTGCATCCGGGGAGCTCAGGAGCTGGCCCCATCCCTGCCTCTCCCTCCCCCTCAGTCAGCGTCTGGAGTCCCTGAGGCTTCAGTATCAGGGTAGCAGTGACCCCCCATTGTCTGGCCTGTCTGGCCCTGGCATGAAAGGTGGAGTTTTGGCAGAGAACGGAGGCTCGGCCTGATTCCAGCTCATTCTCCGCAGCGTGGAGCCTGTAATGTGCTTGGGGCAGGGTGGGCAGGCCTGGGTGGGGGCTGGGGGGTGGAGGAGCTACAGGGCAGCCCCTGTCACTAGGACAACAGCAGGGAGCCCTGGAGGGGGAGGCTGAGGAGGAGAGCAGGTGGCTCTTTGTCTGGTGCTGATCCCAGCCCCCTACCCCAGAGCCCTCCCAGGCCTTCCAGGAGGCCCCTGGGAGGGGATTGGTGTCCCTGCTCCCAGAAGACGCAAAACCATTGGGCTTCCTCCCCGGCTGCGGGCCAGAGAAGCTTCACACCGTGTGGCAGACCACTGCGCCCTACAGTGTCCACTGGAGGTCTCCCAGGACCTGGACCCCATCCCTGCTACCCATCTGCCCTCCCAACACTGAGGTCCATGTGGGACCAAGTGGGGCAGGCGAGTGCTTTCCCATGATAAGTGGAATTAGCACAGGTGGCTTCTGGGGATGGAAGGGGTTGCTGGCACCCATTGCCATGGTCCTTCTCTAGGGTCACTTTCTGCCTCTGAGCGATAAGGAGGCCAGAACTGTTGCTGTCTGGGGGCTCTTCTCTGCTTTAAATATCTCTGTTTAAGGTAGGAGTGTGAGAATTCTGGAGCCCCCGCCTTTTACAAGGTTCCTGACCGTGGCTCCTGACCACTGCTCTGGATTGTCTAGAAATATGGCACAGGGGCTGGGGACGGCTCAAGCGGTAGCGCACTCGCCTGGCATGCGTGCGGCCCGGGTTCGATCCTCAGCACCACATACAGACAAAGATGTTGTGTCTGCAGAGAACTAAAAAATAAATATTAACAAAAAAAATTTCTCTCTCTCTTTCCCTCTCTCTCCATCTCTCTTTAAAAATAAATAAATAATAAATAATAGAGATACGGCACAAAGAATCTGCTTCCCCAAAGTCACTTTCTTTCACCTCATCCAGAGACATGGGAAATGTGGCTCTGGCCTTCTTAGGTTCCCTTGTCCTGTACTCACATATGTCCCCAATGTCTGTTGCCTTTTATCATTTTTATTTTTATTTTGTAGTATTGGGGATTGCCTACCAGGGTCTTGTGAATGGTAGGCAAGCTCCCCACCACTGAGCTACAGCTCAGCCCCTCTAATGCCTTTTGTGTGTGTGTGTGTGTGTGTGTGTGTGTGTGTGTGTGTGCACACGCGCTGGGGATAGAACCCTGGGCCTTGTGCATGTGAGGCAAGCACTCTACCAACTGAGCTATAGCCCCAGCGCCCCCTCCACTGCCTTTTAAAGCCTAAGCAACCCACAGCAGCATCTTCAGGGATGCCCCCGAGAGGCCTGTGGAGAAGCCCTCTGCAAACAGGAACACCCTCGGCACCCAGGAGAGATGAGAGACACGGAGTGGTGTGGAGTGTCATTTCCTAGCAGGGAGCGTGTGGGGATTGGCATCCAGTGGGCTGTGTGGGGAAGGAAGGGCAGACAGGTTAAGGGCTTCTCCGGGACAGATGAATACCATCCTGCTTTTTCTAAATGAATCCACGAGAGGTGTTTCCTGGAAAATTAGCGCCTGTCTGTTCCTTTGAACATCCCCCGCCTATTCATCCGGCAAATCTTGATTGAGTGCCCGAAGCACAGGCTCCGTGTGCTAAGTACCTGGGACAAGTCGTGATGCCAGCCTTCAGGGGATTCGCAGGCCGGCTAGGAGGTGAAGGTGGTCAGAGAGCAGTGTGAGCCGGAGCGAGGCCCAGAGCCTGTCCAGAGTGAAGGGGAGCAGCCAGGACGGGCCGGGCCGTGTCCCAGGAGAGCCTTCCAGAGAAGAGGATACGGGAGTAGTTGGGAAGAGAGTCTGAGCCTCCCAGGGAGATGAGGGAGGGCAGGAATCTTAGATGGAGGGACCCAGGTGTGCAAAGCAGCAGAGGATAAAAGAGATTGATGTAAAACACACAGAAACTCCAAGGCAAAAACTACAGAGCCCAGCGCCTCTGGAGCGGGGGTGGTGCCAGTCCTGCGGGTGTGGGTGTGTGAGTGGGTCCTGGGACAGGCTGGTGGCAAGGTGGGGAAGGGCTTGCCAGGCTGGGCTTCCTGTGCTCCCCCACCCTGCGCCTGTCCCCAGGAAGGTCTTCCCTGGGACACCTCCTCCCACCCCTCCTCCCTGCCCCAGGCCCAGCAGTTCCTTCTCTTCTCAACTCAAAGCCTTTCATTCCTGCTTTCACCACCGTCTGCTGAGCAGGGGGGCGGGGGGGCAGTTTCCTTGTCCTTCGAGAGGGTTGGATTGTTGGATTGGGTGATCCTGAAGGGGGCCGTAGGGACATCCCGGACACCACCTGGGCCTCCACTGGCAGAGGGCTGGTGACAGGAGCCTGTGAGTGGTTGTGGGAATCTGGGTCCCCACGTGAGTTCCCGGAGGGGATGGTGTCCTGCTGAGCCCTCTGCTGTATGCTTCTCCCCCAGTTTGACCCCGGGAACACAGGCTACATCAGCACGGGCAAGTTCCGGAGCCTTCTCGAGAGCCACAGCTCCAAGCTGGACCCGCACAAAAGGGAGGTACTCCTGGCCCTTGCCGACAGCCATGCAGACGGGCAGATCTGCTACCAGGATTTTGTCAACCTGGTGAGTGCTCTGGGGCCCTCACCACTGGGCAGGGCCTGTTTGGGGATTGTGACTTAGATACATGAAAGAGATTCAGACAAGGGAATCTGTTGACTCACAGTATTTTTAAAAAGCCCAGGCTTCAGCAAACAAAAGGGTACCATTAGGGACCAGGTAGATAGGCCTCTGGCTTTGGGTTCTGGTTTCTGCAGTAGCAGCTCCTCCTCAAAGCAGCTCCCTGTCCGTTCCAGAACCTCCCATTGTGACAGCGAAGTAGCTGCAGCTGTTCCAGCCCTTTACATAACCCCCAGGCCATACCTTACAGTCTCTTCTTGTGGTAGCTCATGCACAAGTCCTGGGTTTCCTCCCTTCCACTGACCTAGATTGGGTCAGTAGAATGTATCGATTGACTCAAACCATTCAGTGTCTGTCCCTAGAGCTAGGAGTGGGGTCACTTCCGCCAAAATGAAGTCTAGGAGTTGGATGGTTATTGCTGGCAGGAGAAGAAGCTAAGGAGTAGATGCTGAGGAGGTCAGGCCAGACCTCCCTGGAAGGTAGCAGCTGAGCAACTTGGACCGGCCGGCAGATGCCAAGGGGAAAGAGATGGACGTCTCATACGTCCAGCCCTATGGTCGGGCATCTTGGAACAGAGACTTCCTCCTTACTGAGGGTAAATGCTGTGCTATTTGGGGGTCACTGTGGTGGGTTGGAATGGGGGTCAGTGGGGTCAAGCAGGCAGCCTTTTGCCCACCACTGGGTGAACGGGACCTCAGGAGAAGCCGCGCGAACTCGTGAGATGAGTACAAGACTAGTCTTTGGTTTCCCAGCTGGTGAAATGGAGGTGATCCACCTCCCTTCACGTCACCTGTGGAGGGGGCAGGGGTGGGGTGACTCCCGTTGAAGTTCCCCAGGCTCCTGGAGCTCCAAGGTATCATGTGGGGCACCCGTACCCCACACCTGCCATCACACCACGGAGACCTCTGTGATGTGGGTGCCCAGGGGTTGCTCTCACAGCCTCCTGGCCAAGCGGCTAGCCGTGGCCCTGGGGCCAGCGCTTTTAACAGCTGCCACAGGGAGCTGCACAGAGGCCTTGTAGGCAGAGAGGAATCTCCTGCTGTTCCGAGAAACCCAGGGAGCAGACCTCCTAGAAAGCCTGGGGTAGAACTGAGCTGGAATCGGGAATGTGGGGATACTCGGGACTTATGGGGTGGACAACAGAGGTGAGTCCTGTGACTTGGAGCCCAGCATTGTCACCAAAGACTGTGCCATGGGATTGAGCCTGCACAGCCCCAGTGTCAGCATGTGTAGTGCCACAAGATACCTCCCCAGTTCCACAGGAGTACCTCCCTTTTGTGGAGGCTAAGGCAGGAGGATCACCATCTTCGAGGACAGCCCAGCAACTTAGTAAGGCCCTGTCTCAAAATAATGATAATACATAAAAAGGGCTGGGGATGTGATAACTGCTACAAGAGTGGTAAAGCGCCCCTGGGATCAACCCCCAGTAACAACAACAACAAAAAAGACAACTGCCCAGTTTCAGGGCAGAGTGAGGGCTTGCGGAGCCAGAGAGAAGCTTCTCCATCCCAGGGGCCTCTCTGTGAGCTCACAGCAAGAAACTGGCTGCCGTTAAGATTTCTGTGTTGAAGTTCTGAGCTGGAGCAGCCCACCATATCCTGGAGTCAGGTGGGTGGTGCTGCCCTAGAGACCGGGCAGCAGGGACTCACCAGGGGGCCCCTCTGGGGAGGGCAAAGAACTTGTATCCTGGAGGGAGGCAGATGTGGGCCCTGGTTCTCACTCCACCTTTGCTGCTCACTGGGAAAGATTCCCTGGGTCTCTGTTTTCCCATTTATACAATAAACCCAAAGATTTAGGGTTATTGCAAGGATCAAGTATGATAAAGGAACTACATTTGGAAGTTTTTGTCTTATCTTAATACTCTTCCTCCACGTAGACTGCTTTGTACCTTTTGTGAGCCTCTACCAGTCCCAACCTAAGCAGAATGAATCAACCTTATCCAGAGCCCCAATAGCGAGTTTCCCAGGCCTCTCATGATGGGTCACATTGCATACAGCTGAGCCGACAGGAGTGTCATGGAGGGTGTGCAGGCTGTGGACTACACAGGATGCCTGCCTGAGGAATGAATGGGGGACTGAAATCTTGGCCTGAACTTTCCTCACTAAGGCCTAGAGGAAGAGGCTTCTTTCACCGGCATGAAAGCTCCATCTAGGCTACTCTGCCCCTGGAGTCAGGCAGGTCTGGATTTGAATCCTGACTCTGATGTACTATGGATCAGTTAAATTTCTCACCCTAAGCTTCAGTCCCCATTTTCATGATGTGGCCATGCTAACATGCACCCAGTAACTAAGAGCACCCSGTCTTCTGCTGCCATTCACCCTTCCCTCCCTTGTAAACTCCGGGAGGCCTGAGACTCTGGTAACCACTGTGCCCAGCAAAGCTTTAGACGTGAGGCGGACACAGCTACGTGCTGAGTGCCTAAGGATCCCGCTTCTCCTGGGCTTGTCCTGAGCCTGCTCCCTCCTCCTGGCCATCCCTGGGCCATCAGCTGCCAGTGTGTGTGTGTGTGTGTGTGTGTGTGTGTGTGTGTGTGTGTGTGTGTACACGCACATGCTGTGCATGCCTGCATACCTGGAACTCCCAAGCCTCCGAGAAGCAGTCCATCCCAGCTTGGTAGGCATGGAGGGGACAGGAATTGGACTAGCTGGAGGGTTCAGCTGTCGTGGCCTGCTGCAGACCGGAGGCTGGAAGCCAGACACTGGAGGCGAGAGACAGAGGGCTCAGGAGTGAGAAGGGGGCTCTGCAGAGGAGACTCCCACCACCTGGCCTGGTCTGAACCCAGATCCTCCCAGCTGTCCTCCTCTGACAAAGGCTCTGATCCCTGTGCCTTGCTCCGGCCTGGTTCTCCTAACCAGCCCTGCCCAGCTCCTTCCTTCAGGCCTAGCCCGATGTCCGCTGCTGGCCCGTGGCCCCAGGAATACATTGCTAATCCCCTCACTAGGTGGGTTCTGGGGCTGGAAGAGCTGTGTCCGTAGGGCTTCTCCCCATGGGAAGGGTCTAGTGTGTGTCCCTGGAGCGTAGGGGGAGGCTGCAGAGGCTTCTGGAGGCTGGAAGCCCGCAAGGCCACCTCTGGTCTCTGCGAGTCAGGATGACCTCTGCKCGAGGCAGCCAGAACTCTATGGGGGATGTGTCTGGGCCGCTGAGGGTAGGGCCTGGCCTCTGTCTGGGCTCCACCCCCACCCTGGGCTCCGTGGGCACTGCAGATAGCAGATAGGGCTGCTTGTCCCTCCCCTTTCCGCTGTGTCTGAGGACTCTGCTTCCTACTTATTCTTTTTTTCTCAGCGGATGTCACCTTCGCAGGGAAGCCCAGGCTGACCACCTTGGGACAAGTTGGGCTCCCTCTTGTGTGCTCTCATCGCAGCTGTCTTGCTGGTGACTTCTTTGTCCTGAGCACCATTGTACCCACCCCTTTGCCCCTGGGTCTGGCAGTGCTCCTGGCACTTAGTAATTGCTCAGCAAATTGTGATAGATGGATGATGAAGGAGTGAATGGAAAGAAGGTAAAAGTGAAATCAGATACAGGCTCTGGATTTGAACTTGGTGCATTCCTGAAACAATCTGTGCCTTAGTTTTCTATCTGGTAGAGCAGGAGTGTTCCTAGTCCTCATCTCACAGTTGTATCAAATGGGCCAAAAGATGTAAAGTGCTTAGAATAGCCCTCAAACATAATCAGAGGCCAGTGAGTGTTGCTTCATATTCGATCGAACCCAGTGCCTCATGCATGCTAGGCAAGCGCTCTACCACTGAGCCACAACCGCAGCCCCCTAATCAATCCTTTTTTTTTTTGTACCAGGAATTGAACCCAGGGGCGCTGCTTAACCACTGAGCCACATCCCCAGCTCTTTTTTTTATTTTCTTTTAAGACAAATTTCGCTAAGTTGCTTAGGGCCTTGCTAAGTTGCTGAGGCTGGCTTTGAACTTGTGATCTCCTGCCTCAGCCTCCTGAGTTGCATGGATTACAGGAATGTGCCCGACTCTAATAGACTCTTATAAAAAGAAAATGAGGGCTGGGGATGTGGCTCAAGCCATAGTGCACTCGCCTGGCATGCGTGTGGCCAGGGTTAGATCCTCAGCACCACATACCAACAAAGATGTTGTATCCGCCAAATACTAAAAACTAAATATTGAAATTTCTCTCAAAAAAAAAAAAAAGAAAAGAAAATGAAATGTGGTGTTGGGCCCGGTTTAAGTACATGGTTACAGGGACACCATTGGGGGGGGGTGTTCCCAGAGGCCCCAGCTCTGACCCTCTCCCTACCCTGTTTCCTGCACAGATGGGCAACAAGCGTTCCAACAGCTTCCGCCAGGCCATTTTGCAGGGCAACCGCAGGCTCAGCAGCAAGGCCCTGCTGGACGAGAAGGGGCTGAGCCTCTCACAGCGGCTGATCCGCCACGTGGCCTATGAGACCCTACCCCGGGAGATTGACCGCAAGTGGTACTACGACAGCTACACCTGCTGCCCCCCACCCTGGTTCATGATCACAGTCACACTGCTGGAGGCAAGGACAAGGGTGGGGAAGGGGCTGCCCAGCCTTGGGAGAACAGGGGAGGGGGGATGAGAGGAGAGGAGCCAAGAGGATTCAGAGATCATGAAGGGGAGGAGGCACACCCCTCCAGCGAAGGATGAAGGTGGACTGCAAAGATGTTCCAATTATCACTTCAAGCCATTTAAAAAAGTTTGATTGTCGTTGTACCTTATTTAATTTATTTATTTATATTCGGTGCTGAGAATTGAACCCTGTGCCCTCCCACATGCCAGGCAGGCTCTCTACCACTGAACCACAACCGCAGCCCTTCAAATAATTTTTGCTGTAGCCAAGTCCCCAGATGGCCACCCCTCCCAAAACAACGGGCAACAGAAACCGTGCAATTAGTTCATTGATTTGGTACATGGTTGCAGGGACACCAGTGTGGGGGTTCCCCCTGAGGCCCCTGAGTCAGCCAGGCAAACTCAGTCAAGTCCATTTATTTTAGTTCCTCCCCCGATGGGCAAGGTGGACCAGTCATTGGCTCCCCTGGGACTCCATGACCCACCTGTAAAGCCGGAGTAACCACGCCCGCCCGCCTGCCCGTAGGAAGGATGCCTCTTTCAAGTGAAAGAAGGGCTGGGGTGTTTTCTGAACACAAAAGCATCACACAAATACCTCTAGGAAGGAGTATTTGTGAACAAGTAAACGTGGGCTAAACATATTTTTAAAGAACATTCTCCCCTAAGAGAATCAGCCATACCTATTATTATGCAAAAAAAAAAAAAAATCTCCTGCTTAGGCAAAAGAGTTGGGAGATACTTTGTGCACCATGGAGCTCAGCTCTCATGGCTGTTCAACCCTGGCACTACTAAGCCCCCCCCACCCACCCACCCACCTCCAGTTCCTGATGAGTGCTTGACTTCCCTTTGGCATTGCATGATCTCACGCTGTTCCTTTTCCGAAGCCTTGGGCCCGGTCATCACCTTGCAGAGTTCCTGCCTCATCAGATGGCAGGATGGTTCAGCTCTGTGGCATCTTTCTTCTTCATCTTTTTGGTCAATCAGTCTGCTCTGTGGTTTAGAGCTCCTGTTTGTTGTTACGGCTTCCTCCAAGTACATATTGAAATTGCAAGTTTTTTTTTTTTTTCCCCTGAGATATTCTTGGACTCGTTCTTCCAGCGCTGACTGTATTGGTCTATTTATTAACTGCTATTTGAGGACCAATAATAATGAGATGCCTTGGAAGCTGTATTTGCTGCCAGGCCACCCGCATGGTGTGAGGTGGACGGAAGCTTCTCAGAGAGCCCCAAGGAACACAGCTGCCAGCGCCTAAGCCATGCCCAGGCTGAGCCCAGCAGGTCTTAACCTGACACTAATTATAGCTTCCTTCTCTGAGTGTGTGCCAGGCACGAGGCTGGTTCTTTGTGTGCTTTATTACTTTTATTTTGGGTACTGGGGATTGAACCCAGGGGTGCTTTACCACTGAGCTATATCCCCAGACCTTTTTATTTTTTAGTTTAAAACAGGGTCTTGCTCAGTTGCCTAGGGCTTTATTAAATTGCTGAGGCTGACCTCAAACTTGGTGATCCTCCTGCCTCAGCTTCCTCAATCACTGGGATTACCAGTGCTTTATCACTTTTAAACTTCATGACCATGCTGGAAATCTAGGTACCATTTCCAGATAAGGAAACTGAGGACCAGAGAATTCAAATAATTTGCCCAAGTTGGTCCAGAGGGGTTAAATGTATCCAAATTGATTGAAATTTCCGGAAACCTCAGCGTGAACTTGAACTGCTATTCAGAAGAAACGGGAAAATGCTCAAACAGCTGAAATAAACTATCTCAGAGCCCTTCATGGGAAAGCCCAAGCCTTTTATTTTACATACAGTTCTAGTAACCTGATTCTCTAATTCCATAACAGGTAGAAAATAGAACACAGAGGGGGGTGGTGTGCTACTACACAGGGGCCCAATGCTAGCGAGCAGTAAAAAGTTAACAGCTGGCAATCTGGCAGTGAGAGAAACAACAGAAGAGAAGGAAATTGAAAACCAGACCTGAGCCAGTGTGGTGTGCATGCCTGTCATCCCAGTGCCTCAGGAGGCTGAGGCAGGAGGATTTCGTGTTCAAAGTGAGCCTCAGCAACTTAGTGAGGACTTAGGCAACTCAGACCCTGTCTCAAAATAAAAAATTAAAAAAAGGGCTAGGGATGTGGTTCAGTGGTTAATCCCCACTGGGTTCAATCCTCAGTACCAAATAAATAAGTCAAGCTAGGTGCGGTGGTGCAAGCCTGTAATCCTAGTGTCTCAGGAGACTGAGGCAGGAGGAGGATCACAAGTTCAAAGCCAGCCTCAGCAAAAGCAAGCTGTTAGGCAACTCAGTGAGACCCTGTCTCTAAATAAAATACAAAATAGGGCTGGGGATGTGGCTCAGTGGTTGAGTGCCCTTGAGTTCAAACCCTAGTACCTTCCCCTACAATAAATAAAATAAATAAATAAATATTTAAAGAATAAAAAGCAGACTCAAGTCTTAAAGGATTTGGGACCATTTAGTATAGAAGTGAAAACACCATCTCCTTTGATGGCTGAGGAAGAGGTCACTGTCTCAGTCCATATCAGAACCTGAAACATCCCTAAATGGTATTCATATGATCTAAGAACACAGGGACACAAATGGTACATTTTAAAAAGAGTTTCAGAAAAAAAAATAAGTCAAAATAAATATCCTTTTAGGGCCTAAATAGGTACACTTTTGTCAAGTGCAGAATCAACTCACATAGACAGTTGGTGAAGATGTGGAGAGACTAGAACCCTTGTGTGCTGTTGGTAGCAGTATAAAATAGTGCAGCCACTATGGAAAATACTCTGGCATTTATTTGAAAAATTAAACACAATGCAGCAATTCTACTTCTGAGTGTATACCAAATGAATCGAAAGCAGGGACAAGAAGAGGTATTTGTATACCCATGTCCATAGAGCAGTCTGCACAACAGCCCAAATGTGGAGGCCTCCCAGGCATCCATGGATAGATGAAGGGATGAACAGAATGTGGTAGATCCATACAATGGAGTATTATTTAGCCTTTAAGAGGAAGGACATGCTCAGTCAAATAAGCCAGTCCCAGAAGGAGAAGGACTTGTGATTCCATATATATATGAGACAGTTAGGGAAGTCATGCTCATGGACACAGAAAGAGGAATGGTAGTTGTCCAAGGTTGGAGTGAGGGGAATGGGGAATTGGTGTTCAGTGGGTGTAGAGTTTCAGGTTTGCAAGATGAAAGGAGTTCTGTGGATGGATGGTGGTGACAGTAGCACATGTAAATCTACCAAACTGAGCACTGAAAAACTGGTTAAGATGGTAAATAGATGGTAGATTATACGCGGATTTCACCATAATGTTTGTTTGTTTGTTTGTTTGTTTTGTGTGTGTGTGTGTGTGGTACTGGGCAAGCACTCTACCACTGAGCTGCATCCCCAGTCCCTACAATACTACATGGAATGGGTGAGTGAACGATTATTAGAATTACAGTTAAAATCCTCCAAACCTGCCTGTGTAGGAATTGTGGCAAAGACACCATGTGACTATGTTGGGAGCATTGAACACAAAATGATCAACCAGAAGTAGGTTGAGGCCTGGTTGGCCATTGAGCGAGGTGATAGCTGTGAGGTGTCTTTCCTTCTCTGAGGAAGGAACCCCTGGCKTGGTTCCCAGTGTCCATCAGCACACGGATGGGTCCTGGGCAGCTCCAGTCCTAGTGACAGGTCCTTTCTATTCTGTGCTTCATCCAGGTTGCCTTCTTCATCTACAATGGAGTTTCGCTGAATCAGTTTGTGCTGCAGGTGACCCATCCTCGTTACCTGAAGAACTCCCTGGTTTACCACCCCCGGCTCCGAGCACAGGCTTGGCGCTACCTGACGTACATCTTCATGCATGCAGGGTGAGCTCCTGTCTTCCTTGTACGGTGAAGAGTCCCTAAAGGGAAATAATGGTCCAAACACTGGGGTTGAAAATTGTACACACACACACACACACACACACACACACACACACACATACATAATTTGGCAGTACTGGGAATCAAACCCAGGACTTTGAACAGGCTAGGCAAGTGCTCTACCACTGAGCTACATCCCCTGAGACCCTGAAATTGATTTTTTAGTTTATTTTTATCCACTTGGATACAGGATTTGAGATGACTGCTTGAAGCTTATCKAATGCCAAAATGCACAGGTCAGTTACTGAGAGTGTGTGGGAAAAGGAAAACAGGGGAACACGAAAAAGCCAGAGGAGAGATGAGCGCAGACTCGCACAGCACACGAGTCTGTGTGTTTGCTAGAGGTAGGTTGAAAGTTTGTTCTGGGCTCCTGGTAGCCAAGGCAAAGAGGGACATGGGATCAGCTGCCAGGCTCATGTATGTGTTAGTGTCCCCATTAGTGAAATAAAGGAATAATTTATTAGAATCACCTCCTTCCCAAAGTGGTCTTCATGTGTGGTGAGGGTCTTCTGAGGAACTTTGGAAATATTCATCATTTCTGTTTACAGAGCCCCATGCCCTCTTTTGGGGCTATAGTGTAATCATTTCTCATTGGCACTTTTTAAAAACATATTTATTTTTTAGTTGTAGTTGGACACAAGACCTTTATTTATTTTTTATGTGGTGCTGAGGAGCAAACCCAGTGCCTCACACGTGCTAGGCAAGCGCTCTACCACTGAGCCACAACCCCAGCCCTCATTGGCATTTTTTTTAATACCTTTATTTTATTTATTCATTCTTTTTTTTTATGTACTGGGGATTGAATTCAGGGGCACTTGAACCACTGAGCCACACCCCCAGCCCTATTTTATATTTTATTTAGAGACAGGGTCTCACTGAGTTGCTTAGCACCTTGCCGTTTCTGAGGCTGGCTTTGAACTCAGGATCCTCCTGCCTCAGCCTCCAGAGTTGCTGGGATTACTGGTGTGTGCCACCGCGCCCGGCTATTTATTCATTTTTTTATGGGGTGCTGAGGATGGAACCCAGCACCACCCAATGCTAGGTAAGCGTGGTGGCACTGAGCCCCAGCCCCAGCCCCTCTCACTGGCACTTCTTACCATAGGATCAGGACTCACAAGCAGTTCAGGTGACCACCCAGGTCCAAATGCCAGAACAGCAGCAATCTTGGCCGGAGCATGTTCTTAGGGTAGAAGCCCCAAGTTGGGAAAACAGAGACCCCAGGCACCAGCCTTGGTGGGGTCTCCTGCAGCCCCTCCCATGTAGTGAAGGAGCTCACTCCTAGCTGGGAAAACGCCTAGGGGTGCCTGAGTTGGGGTGGAAATGGAAAGATCCCCCAAGCCCTAGATCCCTCCACAGCAGGACCAAGAGCCCACCCCTAGCTGCTGCCCCTGCTCGAGAGGTTGCTCTAGGGTGAGGAATACTTCAACGTAATTGCTGAGGCACGTCACCATTCTCAGCCAAGAAGGACCATTGGTTGAGGCTGTTCCCCTGCCAGTCCTGTCCTGCACGGGGCTGAGGAGCAGAGGGAGGGGGGATCATGCTTCAGCTTCTCATGAATCAAGCTCCAGAGACCACAGAAACTGGGGTTTTCCTGCCTGGGCTCCCCAAGCCTGTGGCTGCACGTGGGGTGGGACTGACTACAAGCTTTATTTTCAGGGCTGCCCTCTGACCTTTCCTGGCCCCACAGAAGGAAGGAGAAGAAAAGCCAATGCCTCCAAAGCCACCTCTCCCCTTTCTTTGCCTCCTGGCGCTAAGAGCAGTGTCCTGCGGCAGACAGGGCACAGATGTCCTCCACCGAGGCCCCCAGGGTGGCCCTGGGCCTTTTGCCAACAGTTGCTTCTCAGGAGGCCTTGCCTGCCAGGGAGAGCCTGAGGGGATTCTCCAGGTCTGTGGGTTTTGAGGAAAGGGCTCTTGGTGTGGGTAGAGTAGACAAGAGATAGGAACAGCTGGCTAGTACTTAGGGAGGTCCCAGCAAGGTGACCTATCATTCCGAGACCCTGTGAGCCTAGGAATCCAACAGTCATCATGTGGAGAAGAGAGAGTCGGAGCCCCGGGTTTTCCTCACCTGGCCTCTTCTAGTCTCAGGTTCTTAGGCTGTGAAATGAGGGCCCCGGAAAATCTCTCAGCTCAGTGACTGTGACCCTGTCACCAGCCTCTTTCCAGTGAGCTTTCCTGATCTTTCTCATCTCCACAGAATCCTTTTGCTAGCCCAGTCCATAGAGGATAGAAGATTCTAGCTTGTTGGGAATCGAAGACATGTCCAGCCAGTCTGAGCTACCTCACAGGTGCCCTCCTGAATAAGCAGGTGTCCATGTGTGTCCTCCATGTAGCTCAGGCAGGGCTCTGCAGACCAGGAGCAGGGCTGTGACCAGTTACACCATAACTGGAACCGTCCCTGGGGAGCTGTCCATGTGCTGTAGGCTCAGTTTAAATGAGATAATGGATGTTAAAATGCTTTGTAAACTTGAAAGCCGCACATTGATTTAATAATAGTAATGTTACGATCTTTTCTGGTAATACATGGACTTGGCTAGACACCCTGTGCTTTTGGAGACACAATCTGGACCCAGATGAGTAGGAGTAGGCAATGAAAGGCATTCACAGAGTAAGGAAGCTTGGGGTCTCTCTCCCCTCAAAAAATAAAACTCCCTGGAGAGTGTCAGAGTGGAAGGTCCCTTTTTACACGAGGAAGAAACCTCCTCCACAGGTCATTCTCTTCTCTGAGGTTTGTTTGTTTTTGCCTCTAGTGGAGATTGAACCCTGGGGTGCTCTGCCACTAAGCTTCATTCCCAGAACTATTTATTTATTCATTTAGGTACCAGAACTGAACCTGGGGCACTTAACCACTGAGCCACATCCTGAGCCCCCCTTTTTTTTTCCAAATTTTGAGACAGGGTCTCCCTAAGTTGCTCAAGGCCTCGCTATGTTGGTGAGACCAGCTTCAAACTCACAACTCTGCCTCAGTCTTACAAGTTGCTGGGATTACAGGCATATGTCACCATGCCTGGCTCAATTTTTTATTTTATTTTATTTTGAGGGGGAGGGTACCAGGGATTGAACTTGGGGGGGGGGCACTCAACCACTGAACCACATCCCCAGTCCTTTTTGTATTTTAGAGTCAGGGTCTCA